TTTTAAATCTTTTGACATTTTTTTGGTTAAGGAAACAGATAAAAATGAAAGTACCAAACTAATGCTAGGCTGTGTAAAAGGTCCTCTGAAACTGCTACAATAACCTAAAACTTAAAGATGACAACTAATTTGGTTAATTGCCAAAATTAAGGACAACAACTGTCAAGGAAGAAATTCTTTACTTATTTTGTGTAATATTTTTAAAGAAAATAAAAGGCAAGGAAAAAAAGAGAGTGAGAGAAAGAGGGAGAGATTTTCCAACAGCTGGCTCACTCCCAATGGGTCATGAAAGCCATGGCTGGAACTGCATGAAACTGCTTGGTCTCTGCACCCTCAATTACTTGAAAGTACAGTGGCCTTCTCAATGCATGTTCCTGAGTAGTCACTCCTCTCCTGAATATGAATCCTGATCACCGCTCAGCCTTACTTGTGCCATAGCCCAAACCCCATGTAAGCCCACATGTCAATTCCCCAAGTGTGTCACCACTGAACTGCCCAAGGGCTTTGCCCAGCAACACTGGCACCTGGGTCACCCAATCTGGAGTCAACTCTGCCACCTTTGGGTGAGTAGAAGCAAGAACACCCTGCACAGGCCCCCTGAGGTCTCCTGCTGTCCCTGTCAGGCATGAGGAATGGAGGTTACTCTAGGCAGACCTAATTTGTTGTCTCTTCTGCCTCTGCTGGGTTAGCGGAAGTGCTTGAGGTGCATGCCTCCTAAAGTTGCCCACTGCTCCTGTGGAGCACTCAGAATCGAGGTGATTCCTCACAAAGTTTCTATCCCAGCACCAAGGAGAGCAACATTGAACTACACAAGTTTACAAATGCATGGGCATGTTCTTATGACTTTTGAACATTTTATGTTTAATGTTTTCATGCCTATAAAGATAACAGGCTTAAGGTACTTCATAAATACAATTCTAAGAAGTTAGTCATACTTCCCTGCAACCATCTCACATTTTCCTTCCTTTTTTTGCTTGATTTTTTTTACAGTGATGTAATTTCAAGGTTTTAATCATAGTCATAATGAGAAGTAAAAAGCAGAAAGTCTACTGCTATACAGGATTATTCACAAGGGTTAATAAACTAATCAAATCACAAGATGCCAGTTTCATTCTTACATGTCACAATTTTTTTTTTTTTGGTTTGTATTTGATTTTTACTCTCACATATGAGGAAATGCATAAAATATATTTATTTTTCATATAGCTGGACTAGAACATCTAAACTTTTTACCATAATGATTCTTACATGTAGGATATCTGAAAAATCAACTACCAAAGTAAGAAGGAGAACATTGAATAGTGCCATGCAATGTTATTTGATAAGAATTTTTATCATGAGAAATGTGGAAAATTCAGTTCTACACACTTAACCTCATGTGATTCAAGGAGCATGTTTAATGCTTATGCTAATTAAAATTGCCATCAACAACACATGTGCTGTACATATAAATGGAATGGCAACCAGCCATAAAAAGAATGAAATCTTGTCTTTTTACAATAAATTCAGTGCAACTGAAGGTCATTACACATACTGAAGTAGGCAAATACAAAAAGATGAATTTATTTTTTAGCTAAGATAGAATACAAAGTATAGAAATCCATTGTAAAAAGTACTATGGGCAATATAAAGATACAAAAGGAATTAAAAGATTTTTTAGGACATAGATGATCACTTCATTAGCATCCATTTTTCCATAAATTTTATTGAGTCCCTTTGTATTTCTGAAAAAAAGCTGACAATAAATGCCGGAAAATGAAAAGTATCACAAAGAAAGTGTGTTGAGCTACAAGACATAACACACAGTGAATGCAATGAATCATTTGCAGTATACACACAGAAAGTATTAATAATAAAAAGAATTAAAAATAAAATAAAATAAAAATAAAAAATAATTAATAATAAAAAGAATTGATCTTTTCTTGCCCTCATTTCTTCATCACTGATATTTATTGCCCCATGAGATCCAACATTTTCCTCCCCTTTGATAATCACTGAAAAATGCATTCAAAGGTTTAGTACAGCAGTGAGCAACCCCAGAGCTATCCCAGATGTTACCTAGGTTACATCACTTATAGGTTGACCATTTGAAAGCTGTCTGTGCCCACAGCCTGGGACCCCTCCTACACTGTCTGCCAGGCTAGCCTGCATCAAACTCTGTGATTAAAGTGTCTGTATGAATGCCCAAATTCCTGACTGAATGGTGGATGCTGGAGGCTGCAGCTTCATCCTAGGCAAAGCAGAGGGAAGGAGAGAAGCACTCATCCCTGAGCCAGACTCAGGACCCCAAATGCAACAAGTAGGCTGCTTCTAGCCCAAGGTTGCACAGTCTGAGGGACCACAGCAAAGGAGCTACTTATAGCTCCCACCACCTGCTCGTGAGGCAGCTCCCTGAGCTGTAATCACCTGCTTGACCTGAGGGAGTCTGGGGACAACACAAAGCCATTCTCTTGCAGGTGTTTCTCAATATACCATGATGGACTCAGGTGATTACCCTCTATCTTTTTCCTGCTCTGTGGCAATCACAAATAGCTGCCATTTAGTTCCTCACTTCAAAATGTTTGGTTAGTGAGATCATTCAGTTCCCCAAAGACAACTATGTGTTTGTCCTATTATGTGGTAGTTAATGCTAAATACAAAATAATGTAGACATGGAAAGAGCATTTTGAGAGTTGATTGTTGCTTCTACTTCTTGTAAAGTGTAATTTCTCTGATTTTTTTTTCCTGGTTGAATATGTTAGTGGTGCACTTAGCCTGTGAGTAATGTTGTAGTTAATATTTTTTAACTCAGCATACAATACTTTATTATGTATTTCATTAGTTAGATTTATACATTTCTCAATACTTACATAGGATAATATATTTTTTAAAGATTTGTTAATTCTTATTGCAAAGTTAGATCTACAGAGAGAAAAGGAGAACAGCAGATGTTCCCTCTGCTGATTCACTCTTCAAGTAACTTGAGCAGTCAGAGCTGAGCTGATCCAATACCAGGAACCTGGAACTTTTCCCAGGTCTCACACTTGGATGCAGGTTCTCAAGGCTTTGGGCCATACTCAACTGCTTTGCCATGCAAAAAGCAGGGAGTTGGATGGTGACTGGGGCTGCTATGATTAGAACTGGCATCCATATGGGATCCCAGTGTGCTCAAGGTGAGGACTTTACCCACTAGGCCATTGTGCCTAGCCCATTATTTGTGTAGGATAAACTTCAAGTAGATGTAAATTCAATTGCCATGATTTGATTATTATATATATAAATGTTCATATTATATAGTCTAATAAATAAAAATGTTTTCTTCAAAAAGTCTTTTAAAATGATTTATTTGAAAAGAGAAAAATATACATGAAAAATAAATCTAAAATCATACTATTCAATTGAGCAACCTTAGACTGGGCTGTAGTACCTGCTGACACACATGACCCGAGCTAAGAGCACACCTGGTAGGATAACTTTAGACACTGCGGTGCTGGCAGGTGCTTCCACTGATGAGCAAGCGAGATGGGACTGGCTCTGGAGCAGTCAGGGTTTGGGATATGCTGGGAGGGCTGCCATACACATTGGCAAGCACAAGAGACTTACTGGGGTACTGGCCACATGAGCTAGGCCAAAGCCCAGTTGAAAAGTATTAGGATTGGATGTGAGACATGTCAGGCAGGATTGCAGTAGCCCCAGGCAGGTGAAAGTCCTGGTGTGGTAACATGCCTGACAAGGGAACCGTGGATACTTTCCTGAGAAATTGTACCTATTATTGTGCTACAGCACACATCAGTTACTGTGCAAGTTGCGTTTGGGCAAAACATGTCCATCAGCTATTGCAGGTGATAAGCTGAATGTGAAGGAGTGAGAGCAAGAGAACTTCCATCAGCTGGAACACTCCCAATTGGCCATGATAGCCAGGGCTGGGCCTGCATGAAGCTAGGAGCTTAATTCTGGTCTCCCAGCTGTGTGACAAGAATCCACACACATCTGCAGCCTTCCCAGATGCATTATCCAAGAGTGGATCAGAAAGGGAATGCTTGGATTCAGACTGTTGCTTCCATGTGGGTTCATGGCATCACAAACATCAGCTGTACCTGCTGAGTTATATTTTTTGAAGGTACTTACACTTGTCTCACAAACAGTGTGGCATCTCTGGAAATCTGACATGTGAACAGCACTCATTGGGTATTGTGGAAATGTATTTCATTAACAAAATCAGATTACTTTTTCCTTTGTACTTCAGTTACAGTTAACTTTCACAGGGTTTTATGCATACATATTTTACGTCTTATTAAGTAATGATAGGTGGCCTGTGAAAGCTATTGAAAACTATAATAAACTGACAGTGTATCACTTTCACAAGCCTCATGGAAAGAATTAGAACAAGGACATACCGTCATACAAGAGGTAGGATGGTTTCTCAGAACTCCAATGAAGACATAAATGTTTTGCAAAATGTCTATCTAAGCACCAAGGATAAGCAATATTTATTTATATGACTTTAACAAATGGATGGGGGATATTCTTATGACTTTTAAAAATATTATCTTTAAACCTTTTATGGACATAAATTTAACAGGATTATTATATTTCCTAAATAAAATTCTAAGATGTTAGTCATATTTCACTGGCTCAATCATCTCCTTTAGTTTTTCTACAGTATGGTTGTTTATATTTTTTTACTACTCAGCTATTAAAAAAAACAAAATGCAGTTATTTGTGGCTAAATGGGCCAAACTGGAAACTATAATGCTAAGGGAAATGAGCGAATCCCAAAAGGTTAGATACCACATGTTTGCCTTGTTTATATTTTTTAATTGCCCTACCAGATAACATGCAATGCAATGCAATGGGTCATTCATCTACAGTGTGCTCAAAGGAATTAAGCATTGAAGAAGAATAGTGAACAGAGTAAGCAAGTTCTGCTTCCTCCTGTGAAAAATGCATCACAGTGCCTGATCCCAAGGCCTGAGGCATGATGTCCATTACACTTCTTAGACTCAACACCATGGGTTCCACTATGCATTAGGGAAAAACAGTCTTTTCAAAGCCTTCTTCATGTCTGTGTTCCTCAGGCTGTAGATGAAGGGGTTCAGCATGGGAATGACCACAGTGCACATCACTGAGGCTGCTGCAGTTGAGGCAGAATTTGGGACAGTGCTGGCACTGAAGTAAACACCTATGATTGTGCCATAAAACAGGAAAATGGTCAAGAGATGAGAGGCACAGGTGGAAAAGGCTTTATAATTGCCATGAGCTGATGAGATGGCACGGATTGAGGAGGCAATCTTAGAGTAAGAGTACAGGATCCCAGCCAAGGAACCACCCCCAAAAAGCACAACTGCAAAGTACATTATGATGTCATTGAGAAAGGTGTCAGAACAGGCAAGTTGGACCACCTGATTCAACTCACAGAAAAAGTGTTGGATTTCCATGTGTGAGCAGAAGCTCAGTCTCAGCATCAGCAAGCTGTTTAGCAAGCCATACAGGACACTGATAGTCCAGCATAATAGAACGAGCTGCATGCAGAAATTGGAGTTCATGATGACCATGTAGTGTAGGGGGTGACAGATGGCCACAAACCGGTCATAGGCCATCACGCCCAGAAGAAAATCATCTAATTCTGCAAAGATTATGAAGAAGAACATCTGTGTGATGCAGCCAGCATAGCTTATGACTTGGCTCTGCGTCTGAATGTTTAGCAGCGTTTTCGGGATAGTGGTGGAGGTGAAGCTGACATCCACAAATGACAGGTTGACTAGGAAGAAGTACATGGGTGTGTGCAGGTGGGTGTTTGAAAATATGGCCAGGATGATTGGCAGATTCCCAATCACACATATCACATACATGGAGAGGAACAGCCCGAATATGATAGGCTGCAGGGCTGGGTCCTCTGAGAATTCCAGGAGAAGGAATTCTGAAAGCTGAGTTTGGTTGATCAGCTTCATGTGGTACAGATCACTGTCAGAAAGAAGCCATTGAACCTGAAAAGTATTCTTTAAAAACAAACATACAGATGTAACCAACACAGCAGAAATCCCAACTTTATTTTGTCCCTTTCAGAATTAGAATTTAGAGTTGGAATGGTACTAATTTTGGTCCTTCCCAGTGGTTTCACTGAGAAATATGTCCTTACTACCCACAATGCTTCTCTAAATCATCAAAAACTTCTTATATAATATGAGATATTCTTTGACCACTTGAGTAATATCTACTCATCAGCTGTTAAAAACACACCATTGATTTTTCCAATCGACTATGTGAAGGATAGATCAGCGGAAGAAGCTGCATCTAATGTGTTGTTCCATGCATCTAAAGAGATGAAGAGTTTCAGTTCTGATTATGCAATGAAGTGCTCTTCAGACACAGGGTTCAAGTGAAGGCAGAAGTGCTACAGTTTTGAGCACATGACTCAATCGCGTTAAACAAAAAGGAAGCACAAAGGATATCAAATGATAAGAAAGACTCAAAATGTAGTAGATTGGAAATATACATGAAGCTGACTTAGTAAGGCTCTGCTTGCAGAACTGAAATTTTGTAGGTTTAATTTATGTGGGTGTGGAACCGTGGATGAGTTAGTGACTTTGACAACAAAAACTACAAGGTTTCTCACATCCACTTACATTCTACTGAGGGTCCATCAAAATGTCTTACATAAATGTAGCTAAAAACTTCACTTATTTTTGTGTGCACATTTTGCAAAATAGAGTTGTTCAAATTTTGATGACCTCTCTTAAGTTTGGATTAGCATATATTTTTGCATCAGACATTTTGGAGCACACCAATCTACCTTGTAAATACATTTTTTACTGTACTGAAATAAACTCAAGAATGATCAGTGAGCTTCATGGCAGGAAATAAGCTACCAATAATGGTCAATCATTGTAGTTGGGAAGACAATAAGGGTAGGAATAAATCTTTCTCACCTGATGGTACACCAAGAAAGCACTGAAATTGCAGGAGAAAATGAGTGTGACAGGAAAGCCTTGAGTGTATCCAACTCATAGATGATGAAATAATTTGTCAAGCAGGTGTCTTTGATAGAGCTCTTCTTACTGTCTGGTTAAGATAACATTGAGTTATGTGAAAGAAGACAGGCCTGTGCATTCCAGCAGCTGATACTATCAGGATTTCCATGCAGACATTTCCTCTCTCCCACTCCTTTCCTGTCAATACTGGGAGAGTTAGTTACAGCAACTGCTCACTGCCTGAATGGGCAGGGTGGTGATTCAGTCTGCAGAGGCTGTTCCAGGGCCAAGGATTGTGATCTTGGCTTCTCTAGTTTCATGTGTTGGACAACCAGGCCCCTTCTCACTGCCAACTTACTACAACCTCATTTTAACACATATCCACCAAACAGAGAAAATTCCCTCTCTACTTCCTCCAGATTACCTAATTCTGCAAAGTTGGCTATATGTATTCAAGGAAACTTATACCACTCATTGTCTGTTAGAACTGATCTTTTCTTGCCCTCATTTCTTCATTAGAGATGATTATTGCCCTAGGAGATCCTATATTTTCCTCTCCTTTGATAATCATTGATAAATACATTCAATAGTTATGTAGAGCAGTCACGACCACAGACCTATCCCAGGTTTTCACAAGGTTAGTTCAGTGTTTGGTTAACTCCAGGGAAAGCTGTCTGTGTCCAAAGTGTGGGATTCCTCTCACAGTTTCTGCCAGACTTATCTGCATTTCACTTTTATGACTAAAGCATTTGTATGAATGCCCAAATTCCTCCCGAAATAGTGGATGCTACAGACTGAAGCTCTGTCCAAGGCAAAGCAGAGGAAAGGAGAGAAGCACTCATCCCTGAGCCAGACTCAGGACCCCAAATGCAACAAGCAGACTGCTTCTAGCCCAAAGTTGCACAGTTTGAGGCACCACAGCAGAGGAACTACTTACAGTTCCCAGCACCTGCTCATTAGGCAGCTCCCTGAACTCCAGGCACCTGCTGGTCCTGAGGGACTCTGGCCATGACACAAAGCCATTCTCTTGCAGGTGTTTCCCAAGACAGCATGATGGTCTCAGGTGAATACTCTCTTTCCCCTGCTCTGTGGCAATCGCAAATAATTGCCATTTAGTTCCTCACATTAAAAAGTTTTGTTGAGCGAGATAAGTCAGTTCCCCTAAGACAATTATCATGTGTCTGCTTGTATGTCATATTTAGCATTGAACACAAAAATTATGTAGAAATGGAAAGAGCATCTTGAGATTTAATTGTTGTTTCTACTCCTGGGATACTGTGATATCTCTAATGTATTATTTGTTGAATATAATGGTTAGTGGTACACTAAGCCTGTGAGTAATATATTGTAGTTAATATTTTTTAATGCAACTTAAAATAATTTATTATGTATTTCAAATTCATTAGTTATTAGTTTCTCAATACTTATGTGGGATAATATATTTTTCAAAGATTATAAATTTTTATTGCAAATTCAAATATATGGAGAGGAGGAGAGGCAGAAAAGAAAATATTCTGTCCAATGATTTATATCCCAAGTGACATCACTGGTTTAAGAGGAGCCAATCCAAAGCCAGGAGCCAGGAGATTCTTCCGGGTCTCCCACACAGGTGCATGATCCCAAGGTTTTGGGCCATCCTCAACTGCTTTCCCATAACAGAAGCTGGGAGCTAGATGCAAGCATGACTGCTGGGATTAAAACCAGTGTCCATATGGGATTCTGATGCCTACAAAGAAAGAACTTTATCCACTAGGCCTCTACAGCAGGTCCATTACTTACATAGGATAATTTTGAAGGTGATACGAATGCAATTACCATGCTTTAATTATTACAAATGCTAACACATATCAATTCTCATGTTATGTGACTTAACAAATGAAAATTATTTCTTAAAAATCTTTAAAATAATTTATTGTAAAATTGTACTATTTAATTGGGCCATCTAGATCGGGCCATCTAGCATTAGTAACTGCTGGCACTAATCAAGAACAGGGGCTAAGAGTAGGACTGGTAGGGTAAATTTGGAGACTCCCTTGCTGGCAACTGCTTCCATTGGTGAGTGAGAGCTGGGGTTATAGGTGGGACAGTCAGGGAGTGAGACTGGCTAGCTGGCTACAATATTGATTCGCAAACACAAGAGTCTTAATGGGTGCAGGCCAGCTGAGCTAGGCCACATTCCAGCTGACAAGTGCCAGCAGTAGATGTGAGTCCTCTCAAGCAAGATTGCATTTTCTATTAGCAGATTCAACATCTGGTGCTAGGAACATGTCTGGGAAGGGAAATGTGGGCACTTCCCTGCCAGGCTGTACCTATTCCTGTGCAACAGTCCCCATCAGTTCATGTCTTAACGGTGTTTAGGCAACAGTATGTTTGTTGCCTGGTGTAGGTGATGGACTGAATCTGACCCTGCCCTGGAAAATGCACACAAGAGTCAAGTTTGAGGTCACCCCAGCTGAGTTTTTTGGAGACTCTCTAAGTGGATCATTGGACTCAAGCCCCAGAATGCAGGTGTTGGGACTGTGTCTTCTTTGTAGCCAATGCCTGAGTAGTGGACATCATGAAGACATGACAACCAGCTCATCTGGGTCAGCAGGGAATATTGAGCATGTCATCAAAGGAGAATTCATGCAAGTAGCTGTATTCTGGGGCCTACTCCGGACTGCCTGTCCCCAGACCAGCCTACCTGCATGCTGACAGGTGCTGTAGTATTGCCCAATCTGGTTCTCTCATAACCCTGTGTCTCACATTCACTACGGGGAGCTACAACCCTGCAAGGGAGTATGAAGATTTCCCCTATTAGGCATGTTCTGAGCCACAGGATAAATGTGTTTTGTCAGGAGTTCAATACAACCATACCTGCCACACGCACATTTTCAGCTCTTGCAAGTGGATATTGCATCCCTGCCCAATTGGGCACATGGTGTAAAGGCTCTCATGTGTGCCATCCTGTGCTCAGGCCTTTCCCACACAAATGTTGATGTATGCTACAGACTTGCCTGGGCTGAACTGCCTCCAACTCCAGCCTCTGTGCTCGCCATGGGGAACTGAAGACTTGCAGGGTATTCCCAAAGTTCTGCCACTAGGCCAGTTCATGCCCCAGTTCTCACACATGCCAGCAGGGCAGCGACCCTACTTGGCATTATCTGCCCTCAGCCCAGGATCTTGCATGTGCTGGCCCCACTTGTTCTTTTTGCAATCCCAGCTCCCATGAGTGTCAGATGGGTTCATTATTTTATGGTTTATTTTATTTTTATTGAAAAGTCAGATATGCAGAGAGGAATAGAGACAGACAGGAAGATCTACTGTCTGTTGTGAAGCTGCAGCAATACTTAGCCAGGAGCCATGTTCTAGGAGCTTCCAATATTTATACCACTCACATGAAGTTTCCCAAGGCCTTGGGCTATCCTTGACTGCCCACTCTCTCAGGCCTCAAACAAGAAACAGGACGGGAAGTGGGGCAGCTGGGTTTAGAATACGTGCCAATACGGAATCCTGCTGTGTAAGAGGTGAGGAATTTAGCCACTAGGCTACAGCACTGGGACTTCAGGTGTATTCTTGTAGGTTGAGATTTTTTTGTCCACCCTGCTTTGGCTTGTCCCCATCCCCACGTCTTCATGTAAAACAAGTAGGGCTGTAGTCCCTAAGAAGCAAGCACACATCTCTCTTAGGGAATCTACTCCCAAATTCAGTACCTGCTTCTCCACGCTAGGCCCGAAAAGGGCCACGCGTATGGGTTCAGCCGCCCAGAAGCAGCCTTCAGAGTGGGCGTGAAGACTGCTGGTTGCGTCCTAGGAGACGAACTTAGCCGAGCCTGGGGAGCCCAGCAGCAGCCATGTTGCTGGGGGTCACGTCCCCGAGCATCAGCCCCGCCCCTGTTCCCG